GAGCAACTCAGTGAGTGTCAGAGATCCCTGACTTTCTGACTTTTCAATGCTCTTCCTGTGTTCAAAAAGAGAATTACCAACAACTCGCTCTTTGTCTTCAAGAGGAAGCTTGATAAGTTCCTCAAATATCTTCACCAGGTGCCAGATCAACCAGGCTGTGATGGATATGTGGGGCAGCCAGCCTCCAGCAGCAACAGCCTGGTTGACCAGGCAAGCATCAGACGAGCTGGCCCATGGCCGGGATCCGAGAGTAGTGAAACTCTCGAAACTCTTCAAAGGTATATCAAAGGTAAAGGGAATCAGTTCCTGACTAACTGGGCTGTGGTTCATACATTGGACTGTGCATGGCCAGCATTAACAGCTTGGATGATCAATCCTTGATCCATCAGGTGGCCTGGTTTGGGATCAGATTGCAGTGGTATTGACCCCAAAAATATCCTTCAGGAACACCTGTTAGTTTTTCTAGTTCGTATATTAATCGGGTGGAGTATCACATGCCTTTACATTTGATATACCTTTGATGAGTTCTGAGAGCTTTTCTACTCCCAGAGCCCATAGGACAGGCTCGTTTGGTGCTTGCCTGGTCAACCACGCTGTTGCTGGTGGTGATCCACTGACCCACATAACCATCACAGCCTGGTTGATTTGGCACTTGTTGAAGACACTTTCAATTTCTTCATGAAGACTTCCACACTTGTTCCAGTAGTGTTTCTGATATCTTCTGGTAAGATGTTGAATAGTCTGAGGCCATGGACGTTGATACAGTGTTCCCTTATTGTGTGTCCACTGTGCCCCTGCTGTTCACTGAGTTTATTTTGCACTTCCTCCCATATCTCTTACTCCAGTATGTTGTTATGGCAGTGTGCATATTTGGGACAAGGCCATCAGGTACTTTACAATGCAGTAAAATGCAGTGTACCAACCCTGCCTATCTTTTTTTTATATTTATGTTGTATCAGTCTCTCATTCCCTTCACTTGATGCTGACTTGTGAAGCTCCTCATTGCTGCTTCATGAGTTCTGTTTTTCATGTTCTCAGGCTGTCATGATGGTCCCAGTTCTTCCAGTTTATTTTGCTGTAGGTAATGTTTCCATTAAGCAGTAATTTTGCTCTGATTCTCCTTTTTGGTTGCTTATATACTAATGTCACTAATATCTCATGCTTTTTTAATCATGTGATTCCTACTGTATTGTCCCTGGAGCTACCAGTTTCCAAGTTAGGTAGTTCCTCAGTACTCCATTAGTTTCTTAATAGTGCAGTTCCTCCACCTCCACTGTTTACTTTTCTTCCTTTCTACAGTGGACCCCCGCATAACGATTACCTCCGAATGCGACCAATTATGTAAGTGTATTTATGTAAGTGCATTTGTACGTGTATGTTTGGGGGTCTGAAATGGACTAATCTACTTCACAAAATTTCTTATGGGAAAAAATTCGGTCAGTACTGGCACCTGAACATACTACTGGAATGAAAAAAGTTCATTAACCGGGGGTCCACTGTATTTGGTACCCCTCAGGGAATATTAAATTTATTATTTAATTTTGTTTTTGTTTCTGTGATGACTGTAATTGCAAGCCTTTTCCCATTTTCTTTCCAGTTCTCTCATGTTTGCAAGTCCATCTACATTTATATACCAGACTTTGAATCTTCTCGTGCAATCTGACATGACTTATGTTTTATGACTGCTGTTGCATATTGAGGTCAGTATGTGTGAGGAGGAGTTTTGAGGAAGGAAGGTGGGAGAGATTGAGGGAGGCCAGGAGGGTGTTGGTATCTTTGTAGGGTTGTGGATGGTGAGGGAGTTCAGGGTGTTGATGAGTTAGCAGGGTTGTGGATGGTGAGAGGTTCAGGGGTTCCCAGAGCCTGGCCCAAGGCTGGGCTCTGGGAGTAGAAAAACTCATGAAACTCATCAAAGGTGAAAGGTTCAGGATGTAGGTGAGTTTACAAGGTTGTAGATGGTGAGGGGGGTTCAAGGTGCTGGTGTATTGGTAGGGTTGTGAATGGTGAGAGGTTCAGTGTGAAGTTTTGCTTGCCTAATTGTGTTTGAAGGTTTGATATTGTACATCCTGCTTCTTAACTACTGATGACCAGCTTTACTAATCGCTGACCTCTTGGACACTGTTGTACATACTCTCGAAACTTTATGCAGGGTGTTTCAAACAGATGGCCCCAATTTGAAATCACTATTGCTTTGAAATTGGGACCATCTTTTTGAAACACCCTGTACTATAGAATTTACTTCCACCACTACTTAATCTTCAATGTCCCACCCATTGCTCACTTTGAGACTTACTGTGCAGCTTATTCATGTTTTCTGCTAATTCTGCTCAGTATCTCTTCACAAACTTCTTAACGGCTACATTCTGTTCACACTACATGTACATATATGCTTCTGTAGTTTTTGTCTGTCATTCTACTTATCTCTTCTAGGGGTCACATATGTCAGAAGCATGTAAGTTTGAGCTCTCTTAGTTTCTTCAGTATGTAAGCATGATTACTTATTTGGCATGTAATGTATATGTACAGAGTAATGGAACCTGGATTAGGGGTTGACTTGGCGACATTAATAAGTTGATGATCAGGTATGTGTGACACAGCAGTGTGTTGCAGTTGATGGTTGAGGATGCAGTTGAGGGAAGTCACTGGTTGTGTATTGTGTAAGGATTGTCCATTCCACTGCTTGACGTTTCTTTGGCTGGAGTCTGCTCAAGAGTACAGTAGTGGCATTTTGTAAGTGTTGCTTTATCCTCATTAGCAAGCAGAAGGGTGTAATACCCTGAGGTGCTGGCTAACCCAGTAATATAGTTGCCAGGTTCCAGGTGACCCAGTCCCACAGGGTTTTGTTGTGTGCTGTCAACCCTAGCACAAGTGCTTTGTTCAACGCAAATCATGGAAAGTAGGGTATCTGGTGTATAGTGTTGTAGTTATCACTGCCAGCTAGCACTTGTCCTGACCCAGTACACTCATGTATACATGTGTTCACTCCAGTGTACACACCAGAATAAGTTGCATTGTTAAATCTCTAATGTATTTTTTTTGTGTACTGTAACATGTTTGCCTTCAAGATCATTATAAAAAACAAATTATGTATCCAGTGTAAATAAAAGCTTGCATGTACACACAAGGACAGCACTCTGATTATTGTACTGGTCTCATATGTGTCCTTCAGAGTTGTACTGCTTCCTCTCTTAGTGATTCATCAATCATTTGTTAATTGATTCTCACCTCTCCTCCCCATCCTTTTGTTTATTTTCCCTCCAAATCTTTCACTTCCTCTTCCCCTGCTCATTCCCTCTTGCTCTCATTCTTCCTTCTCTTTTCTCTCACTCCTTCCCTTTTTATCCCCCTCTTTTCTTATTCTTCTGTCTTTCCTCTTCCTCGTCTCTAACCCACCCCCTCTCTTCTCCTCATTTTCCATTTAGTCCTTATCTTAAATCCTCTGTCCCCCTTCCCACTTCTTCATGCCCTCCTCTCTTGTTCTTTCCAGTTAACTCATTGTAGACCCCTAAAATTTCCTGTTATTTGTTTTTCCCACAAACTCTTCACATTTCTTATCCTCTGCTTCCTAGTTTCCCCTCATTTGTTTATTTTTTCTCTTGGTTCTATTATCTTACAATTGGTTATTTATTTACATTTGAGATTTAACTTACCGAGGTGCAAGAATGTCTCGTTATTAACCCTTTGAGGGTCGACAGGCCCTCTCCGAAACTCGTTCTCAGGGTCGGCCAAATTTAAAAAAAAAAAAAATTATTTTCTCTTATGAAAAGATAGAGAATCTTTTCCCGATCATAAAGACACCAAAAGTTTGAAATTTGATAGAAAACTTACGGAATTATGCTCTCGCAAAGTTAACGGTCTCGGCGATGTTTACGCATCGGCGATTTTGCCCACTTTGAGCCCCATTTTCGGCCAATTGCACTGTACTAGTCGACAAAAAACATGAATATTTCGCTAGAACTCCATTTTTTCTATCGAATGGGTGCAAGAAACCACTCATTTATGAAATTCAACTATCCAATACAGTGGTCAGAATATAGCAATTTTGCCAATTTCACACAAATTTCAAAAGATGCCAATTTCCGAATAGGGTCCAGAATAAACAAGAAAGACATTCTTGGCACTAAAATGACATTTCCTCTGGTCATTAGTCACGTCTCAAGGCCCCTCTTATATTCTTTTGCTTTCCACTTTGAATTTTTATTCTCACAAAAAATTGAAGATTTACTGTTATGCAGACTACTGCATTAGTGTAAGAAATGGTATAAATATTATTGGTGCACTTGTGAAAGAATATTAGACTCACCAGTTGACGTGTATTGCACGCTTGGCACAATTTGTTTACTTTTGAAGTTTGGTAAAAATCGAACATTTCTGCTACTTGAGCTCAATTTCAAGGCACTTTTCTCTGTAAAACCAGTCAAAATCATCTCAATTTCTGTAATATGTCTTCCATTCTATAAAATGAGACCCAAGAAAACTAGAATACAACAATAAATACCATACGAAAATACACTGCAAAGTCGCTGATTTATTAAAAAAAAATGGTCAAAGTTTTTTTTTTCTCATTATGCACTGTGTGCTGCAGGATTTTTTTTAGACTGTGCACACTGACCACATAGACCCATTCTTTCATATGAAGGCCTACCAGCTTTCTCCCACTAGATTTGAGGCCGCTAGAATTTATGAGTACTAGTACGTCAAAAACCCCTACACGTAAGACGTACTAGTACGACGAAAACCCTCAAAGGGTTAAGCTGCCTTAACTATTAATGTGGATGTTGGGACTTTATAAATGGGAAACCAGTGCAAATTATGAGTCAGATTTATGTAGGTGAGTAAAAGTGCAATCATGATTGATATGGTATCAGTAAAATAATCATGGATCCCCCACACTCCAAGTACACAGTGATAACCAGTTACAGTGACTTCCCATGGAGTCTGAAGATTGACCACACTTCCAACTGTCTTCTCACCACCACTTATACTTGTTTTTATTACAGATGTAATGGACAGCATATTCATATCATAAACACTGAAAGACAGAAATGGTTTTGTTGAGTGAAACTTTAAGTTGTGATGAACAGAAGTGAGTAACTACTGGTTGTAAAGTTGTGAGATACACAGATAGTGGAGTGCAGGAAACATTACAAGTGTAGTTGAATCATCCATCACCACCATGAGCAAGTTATTTCCCATGTTCAAGAGGAAGGGGAAAAGCAAGGAAGAAGAAGTGGAGGAAGAATCTAAGAAGAGACATATAAAAGCTAGCAAACACCTTAAAGATCATCACCAGAGCCCCTCTCCTATAGTGGCCTCTGACACGGCCAAACCAATAAAAAAACGAAAAGCAAAAGAAGGAAAGCGCAAAGCTCCTATCCCTGGAGAAAAGGAAAATAAACTGATTGCATTTAACGTGGAAGCACAACGTACGAGAGACTTCTATGTTGATGACAGCGGCAGCGTGAGACAGAGCCTCTCACAGCATGGGTCAAAGGAGCATCATGAGGGAGACATCTATGAGGATGATAGCAGTGAAGCCCAGTTTGGTCCATGTGTGCAGTTAGCAGAGGATAGTCTCCTTGCTAGGAAAGATGATCTTGGTACTTATATACATGATACATATGCTTTAGAGATGGAAATTAAGCCTGAAGTCTTAGACATGACAAATGGTTGTGCAAGTCCTGGAGGCAAACAAAGCTTGGATGTGAGTGCTGATACAAGTGAACATAGCTTACAGGAGACACTTCTTAGTGATGGACATACAGATAAAAACCTCACTCATAGTTATTTAAATTCCAGTGAAAAAGAAATAGGCATGGAAGAAGTTCTTAATGAGAATATATTGAATGCCCAGGAGGTTCATGGCATTGCTGGTGAGAAAACAGCAACTTCCTCTGGTGACTTAGAAGCAAACCAAGAACCCACATTGAGCAAGTCTGACATCCACCTCACAAGTGATGCTCAGGAAGACGTACACACAGCAAGTGATGCTTGGGAAGATGTACACACAGCAGTTGATACTCATGAAGATGTACACACAGCAGGTGGTACTCATGAAGATGTACACACAAGTGATGCTAATGAAGTCTCACACCTCACAAGTGATGCTTTTGAAAATGAGGTTGAATCAAATAATTCTCATGATGTAAATAGCATTGGTAGAACAGAAGTGAGAGACTATACTGGTGAAGAAATGGTAGTTTTATCTGAAGTAGAAGATGCACCACTGCCAGAGGAAGACTCGGTAATGATGGATGATAATCAGAAGAAAGAGAAAGAAGGTGAAACAAATGAATGTCCTTCAGGAAATGCAGGAAAGCAAAGGGATGATGTTATTGAACATTTTGATGAAGTAATTAAATGTAAAACCGTGGAGAATGCAGGCAAAGGTTCTGAATTTAAGGAGGTTGTAATGGGAGACTTTGAGTGTGGTGATGAAACAAAGGATTCCCAGGAAGGCTCTGTGTTGGATGAAAATAGTCAAGTGGATGAAGATGGCCTGCATAGCATCCAGGAGAGTGAAGATGACTTTGACTCTGCCCAGGAGGAATGGGATGAAGAGGAGAGCTCAGTAGAGTCAGCGAGAGAGAGAACAAGCGAGGACACTGGGAAGGTGACATCACAGGAGTGCATCCAGAGTACATTTTTAAACCACTTTGAAGAATCAGATGACGATGGGGAAGTCAACGAAGCGGCAAATAATGTTCTCATCACCAACAAGTGTAAGGAAATGCAGGTGCAAGGTATAGTCAGAGAACCCAGCAGTTCTTCCTCCATCTATGGTGATGCACCCAGCAATTTCGAAGATTGTTCGAGTGCTGAAATTTCTTCAATTATTGATGCGTCAAATGAAGACTGTACAAAAGATTCAAGCCAGGATGATCAACAAAATGCAAGAGTCCCTTTTAAACTCGCTCGGAAAACGTCAAATATTTCTACTGCCTCCAGTGACATATTCGATGAAGAACTTGACGGACTGCTTGATGAAGAACTTGACAGGCTGTCAGAAGAAGAAGTTGAAAGCATTAACAACAAAGTACCTCAAGGGCAGTCCAGTGATGTAGTAACTGTAAATGGTATTGGGAAAATAGAGCCTTCACAAAGGGATGAATCCACAGTGGAAGTCAGTAGAACAGTGGAAAGGACTAAAGAGGAAGGAGAGACCACTGTAAATAGAGATGTAGAGATCACGGTACAAGATCAGAGTGGGGAAATAAATGAAGTAAGCGTGCATGGCAGTATGAGTAACACTTCAAAAGATTCAAATTATTTATCAAAAATAACTGAGGAAAGTAAATGTTCAGAGGAAAGCGTTAAGACATCAATATTGGTAACTCCTGAAGAGTGTTTGGATCAAGTCAGAGACAGTGGATATTATAGTTTACCAGTGTCACCCAAACCAGGTGTTGCTGTGAGGCCGAGTGAAGCGGCCGAGGAAGGAGTGCAGTTGGCCAGTGATTCCTTTGCAGACAGCGAGGAGGAAGGAATGGTAACGCCTCCCAATGAAGTCTTGCCGGTCGTAGATGAAGCTGTGGTGCCCACAAGCAAAATAAGAGAAGAGAAAGAAAATGTTTTGGACAGTTCTGTTAATAATGAATCCAACATACTATATCAATCGTGTAATGAAAATCAAGAAGCCGAGATAGAAAATGTCGACAAACTTGCCAAACAAGTATCAAAGGCAAGTGAAGAGGGCAGTCAAGATATCTCGGTAGAAATGCAAATAAATAGTAAGCCTGTGTATCCTAAACTTAACATTGGCAAAGATGTAACTACAGCCGAGCCAAAAGATGGAAGTGCCTCTCCGAGAGGCGGTTCTACCCCAACTAGGCACTCAAGGCACAAGTCCCCGTTGGTGGAGTGTGAAAACAAACAGCAGAGCGAGGAGAGCCTACTTAGCCCTGACCCGGTGGGAGACAGGTTCCTGGAGCAGGCTGTCTTTGTATCCCACCAAGAAGTAAGTTCTTCATTGTCTTCCTTAAACACACATTTCTTCTTACTTAAGATTTACTATTTCATTATTTTGTTTATTTAATTTTTATCTCCTAGCCATCAAGTAAATTGGCAATAATGAATGTTGCTTCATTAAATGTGTAGATGTTTTAACTATTGTTTGTGATCATTGTCCATGATAATACTAATGAAGAGTTATAGTGAGAGCGCTGCTGCTTGAGTCAGTGATTTATTACTCTCACTCCTCTCACCTTTTGCAGATACCTTGTAAAAATACAATAAATTATTCCAGCTGTCTTCTGTCTGATGCTCACATACAGTCTCTCCAAAAATTTAAGAGTATTGCTGTTGACAGGTTTGACAAAAGTCAGTATTTTTAGATAATACAATATGTTGCTATTGATAATGTGGTCAGTAAGTATGTGAAATATAAGGAAGAATGGGTTTTAAAACAAAGTAAAAAAAAAAAAAAAGGTTCAAAGCACTCGGTAATCTCTAAAGTTAAATGTTGGTAGACAGGTAATGTGGGAGTGTGTAATCCTCTCATACACTGACAGGTAATGTGGGAGTGTGTAATCCTCTCATACACTGACAGGTAATGTGGGAGTGTGTAATCCCCTTATACACTGACAGGTAATGTGGGAGTGTGTAATCCCCTCATACACTGACAGGTAATGTGGGAGTGTGTAATCCCCTCATACATTGACAGGTAATGTGGGAGTGTGTAATCCTCTCATACACTGACAGGTAATGTGGGAGTTTGTGTAATTTTCTCATACATTACTATAAAGACTAGCATCTCTTATTATGTGTTTCTTCCTAAATCACTTCAGTAATTAATCCCAGTTACCTACCTACCAATAACAATTACTGCTTATGACATCATTATGTTTAATGATGCTGCATATTAGCTGACCTTCACATTATATGTTGAGTTTTCCTAACTGTGAATGCTGTGTGTGGCTCTTATGCTCACTTCTGCCGCCTTGATCATGTCATAAAACCTTTCAGTATTTCTTGTATGTACATTACTGCACTAAGTAAAAAATGCTACAGCTTTATGACTTTGTGTTGTTATAATAATAAAAAAAAAGATTATGTAGAATTATCTTGAATATAGTAAATTATGTCAGTAGTATTGCAGGCTGAAGCAACATTCATTCAGCGGTAAGTATATGACAATACCAACTTAGCCACAGAGTGATGAATAAGATACATGTGCAACACTTGGGTATCTTTATTGATGAATAAGATACATGTGCAACACTTGGGTATCTTTATTGATGAATAAGATACACGTGCAACACTGGTATCTTTACTGATGAAATATCTTCCCTGCCCAGCAAGCTTCCTCAGTCAAATACAGGTGAATATATTAGCCTGAATTAGACTGAAGAAGCATGTTGTGCAGCTAAAAGGATTCAGTTATAAAGATATCCAGGTACTGCACATATCTATTCTTCAACCTGCCAGTATTATATGCCATCAAGAATATGATAGCCACAGTGTATACACAAGATCGTTCTGTGGGGTAGCTCCTACTGTTGCTTGACTTATTTTTATACATAGAGGCCTTTAACTTATCTCATGATGACATGAGATTCTTATTTCATGGAGAACAGTGTTGGAATGCTCTGAAGATGTATCCATGTGTGTTCAATGTTGAGATATACAGTGGACCCCTGCTTAATGATCACCTCCCAATGCGACCAATTATGTAAGTGTATTTATGTAAGTGCGTTTGTACGTGTATGTTTGGGGGTCTGAAATGGACTAATCTACTTCACAATATTCCTTATGGGAACAAATTCGGTTAGTACTGGCACCTGAACATACTTCTGGAATGAAAAAATATCGTTAACCGGGGGTCCACTGTATATACAAATGTGTTGAGCAGTAGAGGGGGCTACAAACTCAAAGATTTTTGTATACTCTCTGGTTAAAGTGGTATGGTTGTTCCCCAGTTTGATCCACAGTAGTCATTACACTGTTACTTTGCAGATGGTGAAATTTGCATATACAGTATATACATGCTGTACTGTATAGTGTGTGTATGTGTGTGTTTTTGTGCTTGTGTAAATTATCACACGTATACATTTTTTTTTTAACAAATCGGCTGTCTCCCACCAAGGCAGAGTGACCCAAAAAGAAAGAAAATCCTGAAAAAGAAAATACTTTCATCATTCAACACTTTCACCTCACTCACACATAATCACTGTTTTTGCAGAGGTGCTCAGAACAAAACAGCTTAGAAGCATATACATAACAAAAAGGCACAATACCGTGACTGGAACAATGCTCTTTTCTGTCACGTCAGAGATCATAGCCATCCTATTGACTGGTCTTCTGCTAAAACTGTCTTCCCTACTTCCAACTCGAACAGTCGCCGTTTAGTTGAATCCTCTCTTATACACAACTTTCCTTGTATGAACCTTAGCCCTGGCTTCGTCTCTGTAGATGCCTTCCTCTCCCACTACATTGTAAAATGCTCCAAACTTCAGAACACCCGTGACTTAACCTGAATCCTCAGTTTTTCTTCTTCTTCTTTTTCTTCCTCTTCCCCTTTCCTCTCTCCTTTTCTCCTCTGGGTTGTCTTTCCCTCTCTCCTGTCTCGTGTTTCTGTTCCTTCTTTATTTTATTTCACCACTTCCCCTTTCACGCACCTCGGTGCGCTTGCTCTCCCTCTGTGGGTTTCTAGCTCTCTTGCAGTGCTCCCCTTCCTTTGTATTTGACTGGCTCGTCTTCCTTATTTCCCACTTCTACCACTACCACTACTACTACCTCTTCTTCTTCTACCACATCTACTGATGAAATTAGACACATGTGCGGCGTCTGGTTGTCTTTGTTGTGGACGTTTCGCTATCCAGTGGCTGGCTGGATGGCGAAACGTCTACGGTGGGGATGCCCGGGTGTTGTGCATGTGTCATTTCATCCTGTCGGTATTATATACAATTCTTGTACTACTACTACTACTACTTCTACCACTACTACTACCTCCACCTCTTCCTGCCTATATATAGCCGTTCTGCTCCTCCTCTGTTAGTGTGACTTTGTCAATGGTCCAAGTCGGACCGAAACGTCGTCGTAAGCTTCTGTCTTTTATGTGCGGGTTATTTGTGTAAGCATATACATGTACGTATAAAGATACACGACATATCCCTCCAAACTGTAAACGTATACATACATATATTTTTATATATTTTACATTACAAACTAATCACGGTGGAGAAAATCAAACAAAATAGGTGAGTAATGTGGTAAATGCTGTGTATTTTGGTCTCAGACTCGATCCTTCTTCAGGTCTTGCTTTGTTATACACACTTCGGTATTGCAGTTACAGTACAGGACATAGTCCAGAACTACTGTAATTTTCTTTCTACTTCTCTGCATATCTTTTATCTATTTACCATCCATATCCTATTACTGACTCAGCATGAATATCTTGCTAAAGAAATTTGTTTTTCAACAGGCTGAAGCGCGGTTAGCCCAGCGAAGAGCGGCACGAGCAGAGGCGAGGGAGCTGAGACTGCGAGAACTAGAGAAACTACAACAGGATCAAGAAAATGATGAGGAGAAACAGTTTGGAACTCCGACCTATCCAGGTGAGTCACTGACTCCTATGATGATGAGGCCATGATGGCTTCTTACAACTCTGTATATCACTGCTCTCAGAGATGATGGAATTCCTGAGTCTCATCAGTTAGTCTTATCTAGGCACTTAGGTCATGAGTGTATCAGTCCCTTTATTTTCTACTTTAAAATAGAGTATTGCATATTAAACTTTCCTTGTGTCTCTTCCCCAGTTTGTAGTTCTACACTTAACCATATAGCATTCCTTTACTCCAAACAGCATATTTTTTTAGGCCTATTTGAGCCTTTGCAGAGCCTAATCAGTGCACAGGAAATTGTTAAGATGGTTGTGTGTCAGTAGAGCAGCATCTCACTAGTGTTCAAGCTTCAGTAACACCATTTTGAAGAATGGATCTCTTGAAACTACAAAAACTCTCAACGCGACTTAGTTATGGTCACGCTGCAGCAAAAGATTCTTTCTAAGAATTCAACATTACCATACATTTGCATGACAACCTTTTATTGACGCTGTTTCACTCAGGGTTAACCTTTATCAAGTCATGACTTGATTAAAGCTTTACTCTTAGCAAGAAGTTTTCCAATTAAAGCTTTTTCTGTATTTGGTGTCTTTATATCTGTGCAAAATAAACTCAGTGAAAAGCAGGGGTGCAGCAGGGACAATAAAGGAACACTGTATCAGTGTCCGTGGTCCCACACTATTCAACATCTTGACAGAAGATATCAGAAACACTGCCAGGACAAGTGTGGAAGTTTTCAAGAGGAAACTGGACAAATACCTTCAATAGGTGCCAGATGAACTAGGCTGTGAAGGATATGTGGGTCAGCAGGCCACCAGCAGCAGCCTAGTTGACCAGGCTAGTACCAGACAAGCCTGGCCTCTGGCCAGGCTCCAGGAGTAGAAAAACTCATGGAACTCATCTAAAGTATATCAAAGGTATACCTGTCATTATTATTATGCCTCTACATCTTACACCATATCAACAATATTGATGTCTTCAAATCCAGCATTTTTGGTAAGGTCCACGATCATGTCTATATCTGGAACACTCCAAATCCATAAGCATTGTTTACAAATCCAGGCCAGAGCTTTTTAGACACAACATTCAGTGTGTCCACCTGAGTTCTTCCCTATATATGTAAATCTTTGTAATGCATTCACAGTGTTACATAGTATTTGTTCTCAGAACTCCCAAGTTACTGGCCTTCCCTCACCACCAGTGACCTCGATGTGTTGGGAGAAATTCTTTTTTTAATTAAAAGCCTTTAAAATGACACTTGCCCTACCATCCCTACCAGTGACTTAGGAGTTGAGGGTTCTTCTTAAATACTTAAATATAACATTTTGATTCACTAGCTAAAACTCATGTACAGTATGTTGTAGTCTTGAGAAGAAACACAACTTTGACATTTGTGGAACATGTTTGTTTGTCCCAGGAATGCACACAGACACCCACACAGCTCTACCAGGCTGGGGTGAGCCACTGTCATTGATTGTTCAGTGGGAAGCTGGTAGTCTTTGTTAGGGATGGGACGATACCAAAATTTTTGCCAATGCTGACACTCGGTTTTAGGCTGATTCCAGTGCCACCAAAATTAGTGGATACCAATACCATTACTCAAGTTTTGGTCAATACCAGTGCCACCAAAATTAGCTTACACTGTTACTCAAGTTTAGGCCAATACCAGTACCATCAAAATTAACTTATACCCACCATTACCAATACTTTGGCTCATCCCTAGTTGTTATGTTTCTTAATGTATCCTTAGTCTTGAAGCAAAATCAAGATGTAATCAATTGGTGTAAGCCTGTAATTTTTTCTAGCATTATTTTCACTTACAGTATTATGATAGTAATACACACAAGATATAATGTGCAGTACTTTGTTAGATTGTGTGAATGGGATAGTTTTGTTAGTTCTTCTTTCCTCACAAAAAAATATTACAGTGCTGGAATAGGATCCAGAAGAGAGGACTTGCTACAACAACTGGAAACTTGACTCAAGATACAGGTAGTACATGACAAACAAAATACTGAAGATGGGACAACATAAGCATAGCTCTGCTCGGGTGACTACAAACACTGTATCTACAAACACCACATGTAACTACAGACACTGAAGACAGAATATCACTAGCATGTAATTACAAACACTGAAGACAGAACATCACCAGCATGTAACTACAACACTGAAGACACAACATCACCAACATGTAACTACAAACAGTGAAGATGTAACATCACCAACATGTAACTACAAACACTGAAGACAACATCACCAGCATGTAACTACAAACAGTGAAGACGTAACATCACCAACATGTAACTACAAACAGTGAAGACACAACATCAACATGTAACTACAAACACTGAAGACACAACATCACCAACATGTAACTACAAACAGTGAAGATGTAACATCACCAACATGTAACTACAAACAGTGAAGACACAACATCACCAACATGTAACTACAAACACTGAAGACACAACATCACCAATATGTAACTACAAACAGTGAAGATGTAACATCACCAACATGTAACTACAAACACTGAAGACACAACATCACCAGCATGTAACTACAAACAGTGAAGATGTAACATCACCAACATGTAACTACAAACACTGAAGACACAACATCACCAATATGTAACTACAAACACTGAAGATGTAACATCACCAGCATGTAACTACAAACAGTGAAGATGTAACATCACCAACATGTAACTACAAACACTGAAGACACAACATCACCAATATGTAACTACAAACACTGAAGATGTAACATCACCAGCATGTAACTACAAACAGTGAAGATGTAACATCACCAACATGTAACTACAAACACTGAAGATGTAACATCACCAACATGTAACTACAAACACTGAAGATGTAACATCACCAACATGTAACTACAAACAATGAAGATGTAACATCACCAACATGTAACTACAAACACTGAAGATGTAACATCACCAACATGTAACTACAAACAATGAAGATGTAACATCACCAACATGTAACTACAAACACTGAAGATGTAACATCACCAACATGTAACTACAAACAGTGAAGATGTAACATCACCAACATGTAACTACAAACAATGAAGATGTAACATCACCAACATGTAACTACAAACACATGAAGATGTAACATCACCAAACATGTAACTACAAACAATGAAGAGTAACATCACCAACATGTAACTACAAACATGAAGATGTAACATCACCAACATGTAACTACAAACACTGAAGATGTAACATCACCAACATGTAACTACAAACAATGAAGATGTAACATCACCAACATGTAACTACAAACACTGAAGACGTAACATCACCAACATGTAACTACAAACACTGAAGATGTAACATCACCAACATGTAACTACAAACACTGAAGATGTAACATCACCAACATGTAACTACAAACAGTGAAGATGTAACATCACCAACATGTAACTACAAACAGTGAAGATGTAACATCACCAACATGTAACTACAAACAGTGAAGATGTAACATCACCAACATGTAACTACAAACACTGAAGATGTAACATCACCAACATGTAACTACAAACAATGAAGATGTAACATCACCAACATGTAACTACAAACAATGAAGATGTAACATCACCAACATGTAACTACAAAAATGAAGATGTAACATCACCACATGTAACTACAAACAATGAAGATGTAACATCACCACATGTAACTACAAACACTGAAGATGTAACATCACCAACATGTAACTACAACAATGAAGATGTAACATCACCAACATGTAACTACAAACACTGAAGATGTAACATCACCAACATGTAACTACAAACAATGAAGATGTAACATCACCAACATGTAACTACAAACAATGAAGATGTAACATCACCAACATGTAACTACAAACACTGAAGATGTAACATCACCAACATGTAACTACAAACAATGAAGATGTAACATCACCAACATGTAACTACAAACAATGAAGATGTAACATCACCAACATGTAACTACAAACAATGAAGATGTAACATCACCAACATGTAACTACAAACAGTGAAGACGTAACATCACCAACATGTAACTACAAACACTGAAGATGTAACATCACCAACATGTAACTACAAACAATGAAGAGGGCAGACCACAAACAGCTCTGTTCAACTACAAATATCTAATCACTAGTATTAAAGCTGCCAGAAAGTTATGTTTAACAAACCATAAACACACTAAGAGTAACATATTAAGATGGCATTCACTGGGTTGAATCTCATAAATGCGACTTATAAGGCTTAACAATATTAGTGATTATTTTTTGCACTTAAGTAGGTGGTGATCTTGAGTGTACTCACTCACTGGTAGACAGTAATTAATGCTTTATATACTGTAGGTGTGAATGTTGTTGATGTATAAGAGTATTTTTTTAGATTAATAGGCTGAGGATGGGTTTTAGTAGACAGTGTAATTAATTGGAACATTTGTTATTAGGTTAGTTTACTTGGTTCAACTGTTCTGAGTGGTTGCAATTCAGTCCATCTGGCAGAAGAATGTCAACAATGTTAACTTCTTCAAGAGGCTCTTGATCTAAGGAATTTTAGCTTCTCTTCCCTTCCTCAGATCAAACCATACATTTCCCTGTCATTGTGTGACCCTCACAGGTTTAGCACTTCCCCATGAATATAATAGATATATTGTTAATCATGTGGGTTTTATCCTCAACCTATGATATGATGCTCAAAGGTTACACTACATCCACTTCAGGTGCAGAGGTTGGTGGTGCCGACGAGGATGATGATGATGATGAGGAGGAGGAGGAGGAGGAGGAGGAGGAGGAAGGTACTGGTGAGAGGGTGTTATTCACTAAACTGTTTGCTTCTTAACCTTACCACCCATCCATGATGCTAAACTCTTCCCCATTCTAAAAATAGTCACTAAATTACCCTCCACCTTTCCTGATTTATTTGATTTTGAAAACGTTTTGTACAGCTTGTGTGTAGTGCGT